AAAAATATTTAATAATTTAAAAAAAAAATGTGTGGTTTTTAGTTGGAAGATTTAGAGATAACTTTGGCTGATCAAGTTCGAGGAATTGGAAATAGAGTATTAGATTTTGGTGCTGCATGGGATGCAGCTGCTGCGAAAGGATACACGAAACTAGAAGAAACTTTTGCTTTGGGTCCATCAGTGACCAGTTTAGAAGGAGCAATCCAAAGTCTTACAGGATTTTTAGGCTTGGATGCCGTAGATCGAACCAACCGAGTACAATCTGGTGCTGCTGCACATAATTTATTACTAAGTGGTATTTTTAGAGGCGGAAAAGAAGTTCTTGCACGAGCAAGATTAGCATTGTCGGATAATCAAGTAACGATGCAGCTTTCTGTTCTGTGTCAAGATCCAGATGTTGCCGATTTAATTATTTCTTCTGTAGGATAAATTATTACTATTATCATTAAATTATATATATATATCTATCGACCATACATGTCAAAAATTAAATTCCTATATTAAGAATTTTTATTTTTAATCATAAGTTAATGTTATGAGAAAAGTTACAAAACAAAACTTTTGTTAAATCACTATTTCTATGTAATACTTTGTACATACAATTATAAAACTATTCTCTCTCGATAATATTTTTAAAGTTTTTATTTGATATTAATATATATTTTCTTTCCTATTATTATATTAAATTTAAAGTATCTATATAATATTATATTATATCTATAGTATATCAGTATTAAATTCAATTTACAATAGTACATGTTTTTTTGAAAAATGAGATATAATTATTACATTGCATTTTATATCTCATAATCTGTTTTTGAATAAAAATTAAAAGTTTTATCATAATTTGATTGAATATAATTCATAAATTTTTTATTTTAAATAGTAGAAATTAAAAAATATATTTTGTTTACACTATCGGTATTAATCTGTGCTATTATTAGCATTTGAAAGGAAGATCACGTATGTAAATGCTATTTCTACTTTATCGGCTGGCCACTTTACGATTAATATACCATTGTTTGGCTTCCTCTTGAAAATGGCTGCCGTATTGGACGAAGTCGGCAAATCCGCCGAAAAATTAGTAAATGAAGAAAAAGATGAAATTGTTGATGAAGAAGATGAAACTGGTGCAGTAGAAGCGTCTAAAAAGAAAAAAAAGAAGAAAAAGAAGAAGAAAGCTGGTATGTCATTTTATTGTATTTTTGGGTGTATACTCGTTTACGCAAGTTCAGGGATTAATCATGTGTTTGTCCGAATCTACATTTATGAAAATAATGCATACGTATATAATATATAATTATTTATTATTTTTATCATTGCAATTTTTATGATGCAATTTTGATATGTTCAATTATAATTAATGATGAACATATGTAAGTTGTTATTATATGATTATGTATGGCACAGTGAATAAATTACTTTGTATTAGTTTTTACTTCTTGTTGTCATTTTTTTTATGGCTAAAATTTGTTTTGCAAAATGCTTTGATTTAATTTATTTGTCTATCTTTTATATATATATGAAAAATTTTTTATATATTAAATGTAATATTTGTGTATTAAATTTTCAAAATTAGATTATAATATTGAAAATGTTTTTATTTATAAATAATTTTTGAATTCAGCGTATAATATGGTATAATTAGAACTTTTATAACTTTCTATAAACAATTTTATAGGAGCTGGTGAAGCTAGTGCAGATGTTCCAGAAGGAGAAGAAGAAAAAACAAAACATGATAATGCTGTAGATGAAGGTAATTTGTTTTTAAGTTTATATTTTAAGCATATAAGGAAATCATTTAAATATATAATATTTAATTCATGTTATATTATACACAGAAGTTGATATAGAGGCAACAGAAAATGATGCAGAAACAGAAGATATTAAAAAGAAAAAGAAGAAACGTAAATCACGTGGGAAAGGTCCTAAACAACAAACAGATCCACCAACTATTCCTGTGTCAGAATTATTTTCAGATGGAAACTTTCCAATTGGGCAAATAATGGATCATCCACCTGCTGCAGGAATAGATGATAGAACAGCTAAAGAACGTTTTTCAAGTGAAGAAGCAAGAGCTTTTGATAGAATGCATAATGATATTTATAATGAAGCAAGGCAAGCAGCTGAAGCTCATAGACAAACAAGAAAACATATTATGAAATGGGTATGTGATAATAAAACAAAATAAGTATAAAAAAGAGAAAAGTAAAACATTTTATATAAGAAAGTAATTTATTTAGGTGAAACCTGGAATGACAATGATAGAAATTTGCAATGAATTAGAAAATACAGCTAGGAAGTTAATAGGAGAAGATGGATTGAAAGCTGGATTAGCATTTCCAACTGGTTGTTCAAGAAATCATTGTGCAGCTCATTATACTCCAAATGCTGGAGATCCAACTGTTTTAGAATATGATGATGTCACCAAAATTGACTTTGGAACACATATTAATGGACGAATTATTGATTGTGCATTTACATTGGCATTCAATCCAAAATATGATAAGCTCATAGAAGCTGTTCGTGATGCGACAAATACAGGTATCAAAGCTGCTGGTATTGATGTTCAACTATGCGATGTTGGTGCTGCAATTCAAGAAGTTATGGAATCATATGAAATTGAATTAGATGGCAAAACTTATCCGGTATATTTTCGTTATTTCTTCATATAATTTTTCAATGTCACCATAAATCATTATTATTAAGAATTAATTATAATACATATAGGTAAAATCTATAAGAAATCTTAATGGTCATTCAATTGCTCCGTATCGTATCCATGCTGGAAAAACTGTACCGATAGTTAAAGGTGGCGAAGCTACCAGAATGGAAGAGAATGAATTTTATGCTATTGAAACTTTTGGATCTACTGGAAGAGGAATTGTTCATGATGATTTAGACTGTTCTCATTATATGAAGAGCTTTGATGCCGGTTTCGTTCCATTAAGATTACAAAGTAGCAAATCTTTACTCAACGTTATTAATAAACATTTCGGTAAATATCGAAATAATTTCGATTTATTTGTTAAAAAATAAATTATAAAAAATGTATTCACTATAGGTACTTTGGCTTTCTGCAAACGATGGTTAGATCGTGTTGGTTGCACGAAATATCAAATGGCTTTGAAGGATTTATGTGATAAAGGCGCAGTAGAAGCTTATCCACCTTTAGTTGATGTCAAGGGATGTTACACTGCTCAATTTGAGCATACTCTTGTTTTACGCCCAACATGTAAAGAAGTTATTTCTCGCGGAGACGACTACTGAAATATCTATTGTTTTAAATTGCGTATACTCATTATATTCACAATCTGAGAATGTACAAGTTGATTTATGTAAAGCCACATCGATGATAAATGTTAATTATTAATAACGCTATATTTAATTATACAATTCTAATAACATTTTATTGATTGTTTCCTTTTTATTGGTAGAAAGACTATAATCATGATAAGATGAAATCTTATAAAATATACAAAAAATATGAAAATTAGATATTTTTTTATTTTATTTTTTAATCCAATATAGATAAGGCAAAATATTTTTATGAAATATCGAATTGTCAAGTTGAATCAATATTATAAGCAATATTTTTTTTTATTTAATATATTTGTTATTTTCCTACAAATTAATAAAAATAAAAAACTTATTGACATTGAATAAAATATATTTAGTATTTTAAATGTTCCAATATGATGATTAATTTACACAAATTAAAATTTAATACACTTAATAATAACATTAAAATTCATATGTTTACATAATATATCTATTTATTTGTAAGTTTTTTTTCATAGAATTTTATTATATTTTTGAATTTTTAAATATTATAATTATTTTTATTATATTTTCAAAACAGTAGAGATAAATGTACTTTAATGTATTATTATCAATGAAAAACTAAATTCGAGTGTACAATCACGTTTCTATAATACATTGATTAAAACAATATAGTGCAACAATATATATTTCATTTCTTTTCTGAATTATGAACACTAGAGTTTAATAAATGCTGCTATATTAATCTATCGGATGTTTTCCATTTAACTGCTAATATATAGTTATTACAAATGTACGGTGGTCCCAGGCTACCAATTCTACTAATGCGTTTATTGCGATGAAATTATATCTGTACTTCGTATTCAGGTCTAAATTGGTATAAATTCAGGCACGATGATAAAGTTATCGTCAAACAGTTACATTTTGTTCATAGTATCTGTTTAAATTCTCGTCTATATTATTTATGACTGATCGCTTATTCTAATGGTATTAGTTTTTACATAAGAAAACTCTGAAAAAAGAGCACGTAACAAAATATCGAACCGATTCAATCACCAGGTTCGGCAATTTTATTTCTCCTTCAATAACTAAACGTCGTAACAAAGATGCAATGCATTATACTGTATTACATCATTGATACGTATGGATATACATATAAGTTGAATTTTACTGAGATTTATTTACGGCCTTAATCTGTTATTATATTTATAACATTTGAATCTGCAATCCCTAAATTTAACAAGGC